TGGTTTCTTAAATGTGGGCAAGTTTTATAAAAAAGCAACGTTTTGAACACAATCGCATTTTTGTCAAAGACTATGGGATTCTGATCGATGATCAAAACACAGATGGTCAATTGCTTCCTTCAACAGTTAAACCTCTTAATGGCTCCTCATTTGATTAAATGCTGCTTAATGTTCACGTTATTTTACATTTGCATCTTTTTACTTGTGCGATCACTTTCTGCTTCTTCTTTGCCGTGTTTTGATCCAGACATTCAGTACAATATACAAAAATGTGTAATAGCGCCCCCTACCATACAACAGTGAAAACACGGAAAGACGGAAAATCCTGTCAGTGGCGGGGAAAGAGCTCAAGTGGACAAATTTTTTCACCATTTGCTAATGTTTTTGCAAAAGCAAGATATATAATCATTAAACATTAAAAAAAAATGTAACAGGCAATTATTCATATGGTGCAAACTCATAAACCGTGTTTTGGAGCCATGATGGTGGCCTTTATCCACAGCAACATGGGAGCTTTATTCATGCAACCTTACTGAAAAACACAAAATATGCAACACAAATTGTATGCAACAGTTTCAGTCCGCTGTCACGGCATGCAATAACCTCACAGGTCAAGAAAACTGCATTTGCATGCAAAAGTCTTCAGTCTTAGAGTAAGTAAATCATAAATCAGCGTCAGCAAATGGCTCTGTCTTAACGGAGTGAGCGGGAGTGAGCTCTTGCCTGTCGCTCGTGTCCTTGACCAGATCCTCCGAGGGCCATAAGGAAATGTAGGGCCTGCGCACAGACACTTTCCCTTTGTTGAATGTGTTGTTTGCTGATGACATGGAAACAAGCGGCACTATGCTGGAAGCCACATTCAGACGGACAGACTGCACTTCCTATGATTGACTGTGTGGACGGTATACGTGCAGAATAAGCTTCATGTTGTTTGTCCATGTACACCAGAAGCCGCCTTGAAGACAAAAGGCCACACAAACTCACTTTCATGTCTGTAAAACAACCACATGGTTGTCCATCATTTCAAACACTGAAGACAAATATTTACGACAAATGTGCCACAATACAACACACATAAGAACTTGTTCCTAATGAATTGTTTTCCTACAAGCCATTCATCACTGATGCAAAATAGTATGAACAGTTTTTCTCAATCGATTAGCTTAATTTCTCCAAAGTAATGTAATTGCTTTTTAAAACAATTAACACCTTAGCCAAACAGTTCTCTATTTAATTTACAACATATTCACATATAGATACACAAATACACTAAGGGCCCTATCATACACTTGGCGCAATGCGGCGCCAGGCGCGACGCAAGTGTTTTTTGCTAGTTTCAGCCCGACGCAGTTGTCATTTTCACGTCCTGCGCCACGTTGTTTAAATAGCAAATGCAATTGCGCCCATTTGTGCGCCCATGGGCGTGCTGGTCTGAAAGAGAGGTGCGTTCAGGTGTGTTCAGGCGCATTGTTGGCGCGTTGCTATTTTGAGGCAACTGAAATAGACTGTGCCATTGACCAACAAAAACCTGGCCTAAAGTCAATGGTGCAGTTGTTTTTTTGTTATTTAAAGAGTGCCTTGCTGTGTAAATAGTAAATCCGCTGTGTAAATAGTAAATCCGCCATGGCATGAGCGCAACTGGCGCTTAAAGGAAATGGGAGATGAGACTCTGATTGGTTTATTGCACGTTATGGCCCAAACACACCCATTACTCATAAAGAGCATAGGGACAACCCTTTTAGACCATGAGCCGGGTGCGCCGACCGTTTTTCCCGTCGTTAAACTAGCAAAAGTGGATTTGGACACGCCCTAAGTGGACCTGCGCCATGCGCTTTAGACCATGCGCTTAGATCGTTAAAATAGGGCCCTAACAATCCAATCAGGATTTTTAAGGCCAATCACAGAAAGCAGTATCTGCCGATACGATCACCTACCGATCTTTTTAAAGCCTTCTTTCTTTTTATCATGTAGAATTGTATTTATAGTGATACTCCAATCAGGATTTGTAGACATTTATTTAGGGCCTGAATTTTTGAAAATGGGGGGAATTCCCCTCTTAGGTGACTCTTGTGAGAGGGGATTTTTTTGACATTTTTTGACATTTTTTAAAAATATACACACCTAAATGTTCGATCATGCAGTGCATTTTTGTTTTTACAATCGTGCAATTGCACAAGCACAAGCCTGATTTTGTGAGCTGTATGTGAGGTGGCCTTTTACGCCAGGTTCACACATAGGCCTCCTCCGTTTGCAGTGTGTATGCAGTCCATGTGCGGTACGTAAGCGGGGCAGAAGCAGCACGGACTCATTGTGCTTTCACACAGGAGCCTGCTACTGATCCGTGCTGTTTACCACAAACACAACATTTATCCATTATTTCGATTTCAAATCCAAACACGTCTTCCAAAAACGTTTTTCAGCATTGTGATTCTGCCACATGTACATTAACTGACAGTCACCACCGATAAGCTACTACTAAATATATTGGAAACATAATTTGCTGTAACGATTTGTATCTTGAAAAGCGCTATACAAATAAACTTGAATTGAATTGATTCTTTTTTACACAGTACAGTAATACAAACTTTCATAGACGTGTTTTAACGCAATAAATATAAGCAACACATTATTCAATGCTTTTTACTTTTGAATTTACTTCTAGATTTATATATTAAGTCGCTCAAGTAAGTGGCAAAACATTTAAACTACTTTTCTTACGTTATCACAAACATTCTAAATTAAAACTTGCCATTGACTGAAACAGTCAGCTCTACTGCCTTTTCTTTTGCATTTAAATCTTTATTACAAGCAACCCTGCTGTTCATAAAGAACGTTGTTTTTATAACTCCAGGAGCGCCATATTGCCTTGTTTATCTAAAAGTGCTCTTTCCCTTTAAACCTAGCCAAAAAGCCATAGCCTATGTTGACTGGGAAACACAGTAGACTTTAATTATATGCATTTATGGTGTAATTACTACATTTTCCTGTCAATCCATACTGCAAACAATGCGCTGTCACTTTAATTCAGCGCGAGCAGCACAGCAAACTCAATGGGGGAAACGATCTCTGCACTGCTGCAGACGCGCCGCTCCTGGAGCGCACTCCCGGTCCGCAACCGTGTGCAGTGTGAACGCATAATCCGTTAACATGAGTGCGGAAAAAATACGCACCGCATACGCACTGCAAACGGAGTGTGTGTGAACCTGGCGTTATGTGTGTGCGCTGCGTGTGTGCATGAGCGCACAGTCTCCAGGAGAGCGTGCCAGTGCTGAATGGCTAAACACCGGCAATAATTAAAAATAAATGCAATTTTAAAACTTCAGTGACGACGAGACACTGCCTCGATTGTGCAAGTGACAATTCCTGTGTCAAGTGTGCAGCTGGCTTATAGTGCAGACGCGATGTGGTGATTAGAAGCCATTTGCGCATTTTAAGAGAGAAAGAGAGAGCGCGTGCGGTGATTCACACACGATGTTTGTGAAATTACGTCTCACATAAAGTTTTCAAATGACTTTATAAGTTATTTAATGAAGAAATATGAACTGTACCTCACCTTCAGCATTAAAATGACTTTATCCAATCAGGCCAGAGATTGAGACTGTTCCGCTGCATGTCATGCCGAACCTCTCACGGCAGGCGCGTCATCAGCTTGAGATCGGTGTATGAGCCGATTAACCGGCGATTAATCGGTCAAACTTCCCAAAGCGATTATCGGCCGATAGCGATCGGTAGCCGATTAATCGGCGCACCCCTAGTTCTTCAGCAGGGAGTTATATTTTCAAAATAAACTTGTCTGTCCACCTGAACGTTCTTCAATTCTGAAAAATGTTTAGACATTTAAAGAACAGAAGCTGTCCCAAGATGGCTATAAATGTGCACTATGAACAACCATGGTACAATACTTAGAAATATAGAAGTGGATTGACATAACTCTTTAGATCAGTTTCCAAGCTTCTCTCAAGGAGAAGCCATGATTTCTTACATGGTCAACTAGGGTCTGTCTTCTATACAGTTTCCACTCTTTCCATTACACCACCCTGTTGAAAAAAACAGCATATGCTGGTTAGGTATGTTTTGACGCCGGGACGGCTGTTT